TTCATGACATGCTAACTCCATGCTATGTACCTGTTTTGTTGGATTCATCAGGCATGTGCTCCAATGTACCATCAAAGAGTGGTGTTCTATGCCTGCAAGTGCCGTTAGACCCAGAAATATTGTATATATCACATGCTTACTGGTCAAAATGTTTGACTGGGGTTTCCAGTTTTTGGAATGGGCTTTTGTTTTTTTTCCGCCCTCCCGCGTACCTTTTCGCGAAAAAAAGGACGTTAAACAATGAATTAACAAAGGGTGGCCTTACGTCAAAAATGACGTACACGTTCGTTGCGCTTGTACTACTCCCTGGTTCCGAGCACCGCGGAATGCGGAGTTCTGTCCTCTGTGAATCCACATGTGCCTCAGCAGGGCGACGTAATGTTGGAATTCCGCCGCGCAGTGGGCCTACAGCATCCAGACCCCAGTTGCACACTCTTGGGGTCATGGGCTCTTGCTACAATGCTACGAGCTGCTCACAGAGGATCCATCACCATTGAACTGTTATCACACTTTCACTGGAATTGATGACGATACAATCATATACATGACAATTCCTACACTCATCTGAAAAAGACATCGTAAAGTTTCCATGTCTTGCACATCTATACCTAAGCATTCGAAGGGAATAGAAGCGGAATGCTGTGAAACGCGTGATTTTCAGTGTGATTTTACTTTCGGTAATTTCGGTTGAGAAACCAGGAACCTAAATTTGGATTACACCTGGAAGACACTGGAGTACGCACTGTCTGTGAATGTCACGCTAGGCACCTAATTCTACGTTACACCTGGAACCTGGCAGGTCCTTGAAACCGAACATTTACTACACGTAAAATGACCTGTTACACAGTACATGCCTAATGTAAGCAGCAAACAAGCCTTGATTGTCATTGTTGTTCTGGTTTATGTATATATTAGTACACCAAATCAGTACGCGAAGCCTTGACATATTTTTGACAAAGCTGGTCTAACAACATAGTATTTTGTGTGCTGTGTGTGTGTTGTGTGTGTGTGTGTGTGTGTGTGTGTGTGTGTGTGTGTGTGTGTGTGTGTGTGTGTGTGTGTGTGTGTGTGTGTGTGTGTGTGTGTCTGCATGCGTGCATGTACGTGCTGTACAGGCCAGCTCCTGGGGCAGAGGCTCAAGTTCTGAAACCATTCAGTCTGAGCAAATGTCGGTAAGGTCGACATCACCCACTGTGTCCTTTTCTCCTTCACTCTCTCCTTCACTCTCTCCTTCACACTCTCCTTCACTCTCTCCTGCATTCTCTCCTTCTCTCTCTCTCCGTCACTCTCTCTTTCTCTCCCTCCTTCTCGCTCTCCTTCATTCTCTCCTTCAGTCTCTCCTTCAATCTCTCCTTCAGTCCCACTTTCATCCTCTGTTTTGTTTGCCACTCAGCACGCACACTGAGCTGCAACGTCATGCACAGCTGTTCTCCTGACAGGCACACGGTTTGCGGAGTTCAGACAAACATTCCATTGCAGGCAGAATGGAAGTACCAGTAAAACCAGAGAGAAAAGACATGCAGCACACGCGGCCAAGGTAGATCACGGAAGAATCACATTGCACGTGCGCACGCACACGGGATACAGAGAAAAGTCTGCAATCTCAACAGTGTCTACGGTGTCCTAGTAACGACATGAATGCAGCCTACAACACTCTCCATCTCTCCTTCCCTTCCTCTGCCCCCCCCCCCCTGCTTTCTCTCTGCCCCTCGCACCCTCCCTGCCTCACTTTCTCCCTCACTTCCATCATCAGTCTCTCGCCTTGATTACCAGCTTGGTCTCGGCAAGACTCCAGCTTTGACAGTAACTGAATGATCGGCCAGCTCCTACCTCACAACCAGATAGCCAGAACACATGTCGGTAAGGTCTGTACAGGGTTCTTTCCCCTCCCTTCCCTCTATCTCCGTCCTTCCCTGCAGGTTCCTCACTCCCTCTCTCACCCCCTCCCCTTCCCCACCCTCAGTCTCTCGGACGTGACTACTGGCTTGGATCCACCTCTCACTCAGCTGGACAACACTCCCTTGACCACACGTAGTGTGTGTTGATGTTGATGTGTGTGTGTGTTGATGTTGATGTGTGTGTGTGTGTGTGTGTGTGTGTGTGCATGCATGTGTGGATGTATGTGTGTGTGCGTGCGCGCGCGCCTGCATGTGTGTGCGTGCGCGCGCGTGCATGTGCGTCTTTGTGCGTCTGCGTGTGTGGGCGCACGCTCGTGCGTGTGGATGCTTGCGTTTCTTTCTACACGTTTTCCATGCCAGGGTGCATCGATTTTGACGGCTCCCCGCAGTGCGCCATTTTCTACTATACAAGGAGGTCGCGTCAGTGACATTGCCGCGCTCATGGTGAGTAACTGGCACCATATCCACACCCCTTCAGGGGCCATCCGGCATTATCGATAATCTTCACGAAACAGAAAAGTGTAGTTATGACCCTGTCAATGTACAGTAGTATATTGGTGAGCCTAATTATTTGGCGCGCATATATGGCCCGGCTATGCTCACCAAAAAGGGATGTAAGGGGTCGTCCGTAATTATCGAAAAATTAAAAAATCCGTCCTCGTGCAAAATTGTCTCTGACCCCCCCCCCCCCACCCCCCCCCCCATTTTTCCCATTAATTTTTTGATTTTTACCCATGCCCAGCTCGAAAATAAGAACTCCTGAGTCCTGACCCCATGTTCACTGATTGCACCTACATGTACATGTACATGTATGTCAAGTACTAGTAGCTAAGTAAAGTGAGTAGGTTTACCGACGGCCATGCACGTCCTACAACTACAAAAGAGTCATGTACCGGCATATCATACTGGTGTTTGCGATCCTACACTACGTCTACAGTGCACTACATGTCAGTGCAACAAGTGTATGGAAGTCACCGACGAAAAAAAAAAAAAAGAGTACAAAAAATCAAAAAATTAAATTCCGCCAGCGCTCTTGACCACCCACCCCCTTTCTGCCTGAGGACGGATTTTTTAATTTTTCGAAAAATACGGACGACCCCTAATTAGAAATTTTTTTTTTGGACTACTACAACACCAAGTACTACGCCTTGCAAACGAGGACGACTGCAGGAAGTGCGACGAAATCCAACCGGGCAACGTCTCGCTGCCGCTTGGTTGACGGAAGCCGCGTCGGATGTTGACCCAGCTGGTGGAGTCAGCAGGGAGGGTCAGCCCGCCGCTCGCCATGCTGCGGCGCTTGTGGGCATGCTGTGGCCTGTTGAGTGCGTCCAGGGCAGAGGTCCCCGTAGCCAGCAGGGCTACGGAAAGAAACTGTCGGTGACTCGGAAAAAGCGATGTAAGCCAGGAGTCGAAATGTCCAAAACATCTTTCAAGAGCAGCGGCAAAGGAAGGGGTTTTCCCACCATCTACGTACTACAGTACAACCTGTAACTAAAGACCGCCGTGACTAGCGACCAGCCTGGTACTACAGTAAAACCTGTAACTACAGACCGCCGTGACTAGCGACCAGCCTGCTACTACAGTAAAACCTGTAACTAAAGACCACCGTGACTAGCGACCAGCCTGGTACTACAGACCACTTCGCCAGGCACGGACGCTCTCACATTCATATATATGGTTGTGCGGGGGTGCATACCTCTAACTAAGGACCACCTGCCACTAAAGACCGCTTTCTCTGGCCCCGAGGGGTGGCCTTTAGTCACAGGTTTACTGTATACTGGTCATTGGAGGTACAGTGAAACATGTCTAAGACAACCGCTCATGGGACCTTCAAAAGGTGGTCTCTGTTACCAGGTGGTCTCCTTATCCAGGTTCATTTGACTGGAAATGGCATCCCCTGGTCCTGGTTTCAGTGGTCTTCTAGGACAGGTGCTCGTCTTATCCGAGTGGTCGCTACCTTGACAGGTTTTACTGTACGTGCACATTCGCAAGTTGAAATACAGGTGCGGCTTTGGCCACACCTGGTGCACCGGTTCTGACGCCCCAGCTCTCACTTGGGAACTGCTCTGTGTTGTGTGCAGTGTTGGTCTACTCGCGTACCATCCGACTTAATTATGTATGCTTGTGTTTGGGATGTGTGTACGTGTGTACCTGTGTGTGTGTGTGTGTGTGTGTTTGTGTGTGTTTGCGTACATGCTTGTGCATGTGTGTGTGCGTGTGCGTGTGTTTGTGCGCATTTTTGGTTGTGTGTTTGCGTGAGCGTGCACGCTCACGTGTCTGCTTGTGTGCGCACATGAGTGTCTGTGCGTGTGTGCGTTTGTGTGTGTTTGCTCCCCCCCCCCCCCCACACACACACACCTTCGTAGCCTGTACCAGAGCCCCAGGCAGACGGCACTCGGGAACCCATGCCTCTACCTCGCAACCCGGTGGTGGAGAAACGGGAGCCCATGCCGCTACCGCAGGGAGCCGAGAGCATGAAGAGCGTGCCGCAATCCAGCTACGCGCGCCTCCACACACACCACGGACGTAGCATTCGCGGTGGAGAGCGCAAGAGAGCGTTCTCAAATCGTCCCAGCTCCGTTCGCAGTGCTTCACAGGTAATTTAATAATAATGATAATAATAATAATAATATTCGCGGGATCCGCGTCGGCATCGCTTGAATGTTCAGAAACACACAAACTAGCCTTCGCATCCGCAGGCCACCACTATGCCTGTTAACCTTAGTGGCGAATGCAGACCTCACAAGGGAGTCAGGGGAGAGGAGGTTAGTCTCTCAACCAATCGGGCGTGTAACGGCCCATAACCCTGTAAACTGCATCCTTGTTATTCTCACTCCGAGCTGTGAGTACCCAGTTGACCGTGGGTGTCGGCGCAGTTCAACACGCGTAAAAAGTCTTTTTACACGCTCCCTGCTACCAGCGCGGGTCTTGAACTCGGGACCTCATGATTCGCAGGCAGGCCTGCAAACCAATCGGCCATATGCGTTGGTATATTTGGTTGGTTGGTATATTTTATTTTACTTCGCCAGAATGAACAGGCATTGCTGCCTTCTTGCCTGGGTGAGTGGATTGTCCAAGCTCTCACATAATTTCTTACTATGGTCACAGCCGTATATTACACTGATGATAGGCCAGGGCTGAACATTTGGTGTACATGTGTAGTAGGTGTATTAATGCTACGACCTGTACATACGCACTATTCGTATTTCCCGCTCGTTCCCCTTGGCAATGAGACTCACATATAGAAGAGCGCATGCTCCAGTGGGTCTCCAGTTCTGTTCTGTTCTGTTCTGTTCCAGTCTAGTCTTGAGTGGTCGTTGTCCTGTTACTGTAAAAATGGCCTCGGATGGAGCGCCAAGGATAAGTTTATAGTAAAGAAAATTCTTGATCCTTTTTTCTTCACTACCTGTACTGTAGTTCAAATTTTAAACTTGAATTTGAATCGTAGTAAAGAGACCGTTTTGGAGTTTGGAGTTGAGAAGTGAAGTTTCCTAAATGATCACAGTTCCCAGGCAACACACAAAAATTATGGCGTGATCGGAGCAAAGTGGTGGTGAGGCGTGTTGCCCTCAGCCGACCTGAGGTCTCGGCGTCATGGGGACATCAAACGCACTAATAAGAACGAGAAGCGACAGGTTAGGCGATCTCTGGTTAAATTCTCGCAGTTGCGTTTGAAGTAAGTGGCCACCTTCCCACAAACTGCATAGGGTAAAGTACTCTGATTTCAGAAATTTTCGGTGCTCAATATTTTCGGTATGAGGGCAAAGGGCCAGGTTAGGTAAACAGAAATTTTAGGTACAGAGAAGCAGTTCCCTATTGGATTATGTGTGTTAGTGTTTGTTCGGTGTATTGAAATTTTACGTATGAAGCAGACGCACCGAAAGTACCGAAAATAAAAGTACACCGAAAATTTGTGAAATTACAGTATTATCCTTATACTCAGCGTGCACTTGAAACACTTCTATTCTCGAACGGGCTCTCAGCTGAACAACTTGAATATAAGAAATGCCAATAGTTTGCCCATTGGGCATCGCCAGGGCATTGAGCATTCTTTGGGAACACATCCAGCATGCTTTATAATTTATAGTTTTCTTCCCTGTAGCAACGGTCACGTTCTTCCAAGTTATAACGCCGCTATACATGCACATTCGCCTGGTACTGTTGATCGCAATTCTTTTAAACAGTTGACGGGGAGATACAGTAATACCTCGCTTTTAACCGCACACATCCGTTTTCCACAAAAATATCCGGATAGGCGAGGGAACCGGATAATCGAACACACATACTGCATGTACGCATGACGTATGCCGTAAATCGGTAACCAATGATTTTCTTCCGGATGGCGAGGGATCCGGATAAGCGAGGACCGGATAAGCGAGGTCTGACTGTAATAGTTTTAAGGAAGATATGGGATTCTCGGCCTTTGACCACTTTGTGATGGGTCTGATCTACTCACCTCCCACACCGATTTAGGAGCTGCATCTGCGCCTTGCTCCATATAGGGTGGTGGTGTTCCTACGGATGCGGAAAACTCGGCCTACGGCCGAGTCTCACGCGAACCGTGATTTTTGTTTTCAAAGCTATGAAAGTGATCCGCTGTGCACTCACTCATGACTGGGAACACATGGAGGCAAGCCGTTTGGGGTACCGCTTTGAATGTCGGCAGTGTGAGAGCCGCTATGTTGGTCGAACTCTTCAGCAAATGAGCGCATGTATGAAGCAAATGAGCTGCTTCAGGCGATGTCTGATTCGTCAAAATGAATGAGGCTGAGGCGCGGCAGGTTCCAGAAGCAGCCACTTGAGACGTAGCCAACCTGTGTGTACGTGACTCATGTGTGTTTGCTTCTGTGCCCGGCAGTCAAGCTGGCATGGCAAAAGATCAACTTCCGACGGTGCGGATGCGGAATACATTCCGGTACGTTTATGGTACCAGTCAGGTCTCTCCTGGTCTCTGTCTCTGTCTCTCTCTCTCTCTCTCTCTCTCTCTCTCTCTCTCTCTCTCTCTCTCTCTCTCTCTCTCTCTCTCTCTCTCTCTCTCTCTCTCTCTCTCTCTCTCTCTCTCTCTCTCTCTTTCTCTATCTCTCTCTCTCTCTCTCTCTCTCTCTCTCTCTCTCTCTCTCTCTCTCTCTCTATCTCTCTCTCTCTCTCTCTCTCTCTCTCTCTCTCTCTCTCTCTCTCTCTCTCTCTCTCTCTCTCTCTCTCTCTCTCTCTCTCTCTCTCTCTTTCTTTCTCTCTCTCTCTCTCTCTTTCTCTCTCTCTCTTTCTCTCTACATTGTGTTTTTGTAGTATGGTGCCTGGTTAGGGGAGGGCTGGACGTAGCATGTCTGTATATACAACTGTTCAGTGCGATAGTACCCATCTTGGTAGCTTCAATCTAGTTCTTTGTTTGCATTTACTCATGCACGCGTGTGTGTGCGCACATGTATGTGTGTGTGACCGTGTGTGTGTGTATCTGTGTGTGTCTGTGTGTATGTGTGTCCGTGTGTGTCTGTGTGTCCGTGTGTGTCTGTTTGTCTGTCTGCATGTGTGTGTGTGTGTGTGTCTGTGTGTGTGTGTGTGTGTGTGCGTGCGTGCGTGCGTGTCTGTGCGTGCATGCGTGTCTGTGTTTCGAATGCAGGGTGTGTCCCTAATGTCGGATCTATCATTCAGCCGGCAGTCTGTGTTTTCTGAAGTAAGGCACTGCAGTGTGTGGTGGGGTGCAGTGGAACAGGTGTTTGTACTTGTGCGGATTCAGGCGCGTAGCTGGTCCCCCTTTTAGGGGAGGGGGGGGGGGGTAGGGAGGTGCATGGGCGTTTCACTAAAATGTTCTTGAGGGGTATGTTGTATTTGAAGTTCGAATATCATACGAGTAGGCTCGCTGATGCATGTGTTACCCCTATGCGGCAGACCTACAGCCCGTTGCTCGTGTCCTGTCCCTTGGGGACAGGTTATCTGATGTGGACCCAGTTGGCCACAACCCCAATCTACGAACCGTGCCTGCGGGGACCAGGCCCTGCCGGATATGCATGTTGAGCGCGTTCATTAGTCGCTCCACCTTAGTGGTTAGTCGTTCCACCATCCTTGCTAAGTTGGAAACTTCGCTACGAGTGGGTGGCTTGGGTTCTACAGCTGCCGGGACAAGCTGTACCCTGTCTACGTCATACGTCTGTACCAGACGGCTTGCTCTGTCGAGCTCATCGCGCTCCCGTACCCTCTCTAGGTGGGTAGCCATTTCGACAGGCGCCTGGGCCGTATGCAGTGCATTTTCGTGCAACCGTATACGCAACCTTTCTGGGGTTACGGCATCTAGGAACTGATCACGTACCAGTTCGTCCTGCAAAGCAGGTTGCATGGTTGGGAAAGCCCAGCCTACCAACTTGTGCAGCTCGTCACGCAAGGTGCCGAAGTCCTCATTCGCACACCGCCTGCGGGTGCGAAATTGTGCTTTATACTGGCGAGCTGTGAAGCTTCTTAGTGCTGACCCGAAGGTGGAAGGATTTCCTATTCCCCCCCCCCCCCCCCCCCATCGGTCTCTTTTTATCCTTGGGCTGCTGACGTGTCAGCGGCATTCCGCATTCGGCATTGCAGGTGTGCCTGTGCATAGTCTGCGCACGCAATCTAAATGGGTACAGCACTGACGGTTGCCAGTCAGTAGTACACCGCGCAATGTTGTGTTGTCCTCGTTCTCCGTGCGTGCCTCCGCATATTCTGTAGCATTGCTGCGCATGCCAGTGCCACAACAGTCACAGCAGCAGCGACGGCCATGGCTTCGTCATCATCATCCATGGTTAGGCTTGCATCGGGCTCGGACCGACAGCTAACTTACTTCGAGTTTATTATACTTTAATCGAAACTACGTGTGTGAGTTAGGAAGTCTGAGGAAAAAGTTGAACGGTTTCGGCTGGGATGACGACTACACCATTACATAGCTAGCTCACTCAGTGGTTAGAGCATCTGTGGCCTCAAGCGAGGGTCCCTGGTTCGAGTCCTGGTGGTGACAGTCAATTTGTTCTTCAGCCGGATTTGCGTCTTCCCTCAAACCAGCAAAACTATTCTTCTCTCTCTTGCCAGTCTACTTCGCCTGGACCGCAGAAATATTCCATAAAGGTATCCCTGACTTTCTTCGCTGCCAGGGTTCAGTTATGTTCTCTTGTACCTAGTTCACCAATGCCACTGCATGGAGGCAGGCTCCTCCAGGTTCCCTCTTCCATGATGCCATTTGATTCGCTGTCCACAGTGAAGTTGGTCTGCTTGTGATGCCTGAGGAAATTGTGCAATGCACATGTAGCGAGAACAATTGATGTCGCCTTCTCGGGGTTGACAGCAATAAGTATTGGCTTCTCGTAGACTCGAAATGTTGCTGCCAATATGCCGAAGGCGTTGTCCACAACTCGCCGAGCGCGCGACAGGCGATAATTGAATATGCGCTGGTCGTGACTAACACGTCGTCCCGGAAATGGTTTCAGCATATTTTCATTTAGCGAAAACGCATCATCGGCAACGAAAAGATAAGGAGATCGTACATCTTCCGGCATCGACTTGATCGGACTTGGCTCAGGTAGCCGAAGAGAACCATCCACCAATGCTCGTCCCAGGGAGCAGTTCTTGAATACTCCACCGTCACTAACGCGACCATTGCATCCAACGTCAACATACGTAAATTGATAATTTGCATCGACTGCAGCCATCAATACAATGCTCTCCGACCCTTTGTAGTTATGATAATAACTTCCAGCATGATGAGGCTTCTTCAGTACTACATGTTTTCCATCAATGGCGCCAACACAATGTGGAAAATTCCACACTCTTGAATTCGTCTGAGATCGCCTTCCACTCCTCTGGGCAAGTGGGCATCCGCAGGTACTTTGCTTTCAAAACATTGAAAATGGCCTCACAAACTTCTGGAATGAAATCAGAGATTGTGCTGACACCTAAGCGGAACTGAAACGATAAACTCCGAAACGACTTTCCAGTTGCCAGGTACCGAATAGTCACGGCCAGCTTCAATGCTGGTGACAGTGGCTCTCGCAGACGGGTAGGTCGGCGCTCAATAAGTGGCGTGACCAGTGCAACCAGCTGGTCGAAATGTCCTGGATCCAGTCGCAGGTCCCTCTTCCAGGAAG